TTGCAAAGTCACCATCGTTTCATTAGTACGAAAGCCCGTATTTGCCAACATTTTTTGTTTTGGAAAAAGTTGGGGTTTTTTTTTTTGGAAAGTTGGTTTGTTTTTTTTTGAAAGTGTTTTTTTGTTGTTGAAAGTTTGGTTTTATTTTTAAAGTTTTTTTCAAAACATTTCCAAAAGTTACTAAAAATAGACTGCGCGGCGCGGTCTTTTTGAAACCATGGACCAAAAAACGGCACTTCGCTATGGCCTGAAATCGTTCTTGTACATTATGGACATGAAGTACGGCAATGCCGTGTACTAAACCTTCGTTTCGTAAATGTGTTAAAAAAAACTTTTTTAACATTTCCAAAAAAAAAAAAAAATCCCCCCCCCAAAAAAATTCCCAAAAAAAAAATAAAAAATTCCCCCAAAAGAACTAGAACGGCGAAGCCGCCATGGCTCGCTGTCCAAGGCAGGAAGGGAGGCTGAAGGTAGGGTTGGGGATGGGCATGATGGAAGGGGATCAGGATTCTTGTTGATGTGCCTTGATTTTTAAATGTCAACATAAAAAGTCAACAGATTATCTAATAAATACATGTGTATATAGGTTAGCCGTCACTGTATTATGGGGGATTTTTCCATTCTTAGGGTAATTAGGACCCAGTTATGGATTTTTGCAGCCCCAACAGTGTCTTCTGCTCCCCATACTTGTATTACCATGGGAATACTCTTGTGTAGTCGCCACAAATGCAGAACAAGAATGGGTATACAGTCGAGTCTCGTTAATACAAACTCTTTCGGACCAAGCAAAATTGTTTGTAATATCAGAATTTTGTATTAAGAGGAACATCAGTCCCATTCATTGTGCACATAAATGCACAGTCGGGACAAAGGCTTTATGTTGTTATAACCAGAATTTTGTATTGACAGAGTTTGTACTAACGAGAGTCGACTGTACATGTAAACTAGACACAGCACCATCACCACCTCCCCCAAACCTTACCCCATCCCCAAACCTTACTCCATCCCCAACCCGCCCCCTCTCCCACCCAACCCCCTACCCACACCCATTCCATCCTCCCCTAATCATCCCCACCCTATCACCTACACATCCGAACCCCACCCAAACTCCAATCCCTATCTCCTTCCCCCTCCCCCGACCCGTACCCTCCCCTACCCCAACCCCCTACACCCTCCTACCCTATCTTCATGATCTTCCCCTATCTGTCCTTACCCACCCTACACATCCCCACCCTAACCCTTACTCGAATTCCAATATCCCGCCCACCCCATTCCCCCACCCATACATCCCCACCTGACCCCATGCAACCCCTACTCTGATCCCTATATACTGCCCCCTCCCCTTATCCAACCCCTACAACAACCCATATCCCTACACATCCCCAACCCAACCCCTACTCCGATCCTATATCCCCTGCCAGTAGTATATGTGGAGCATTTCGACCCCCGTTGAGGCCACATTTGTGTGGGAGGCCTGAGGTCGCGTGAGGCGTGGGAGGCCTGAGACGCGTGAGGCATCGAGGCGGGTAGGACCCCAGCTGAGGCGGTATTTGGGGTCCACCCGTTGAGGCAGAGATTGGAACGGTTTAAGGGGGAGGGGCTAATTTGGGAGGCATTACAGACCCAGAAAAATAAAGGTACGACACGGGGTGCCTAAAACCAACCGGAACTCACCAGAACATTCCTTAAGTGGTCAACGGGCAATATACAGTTGAGCAGTATTTTATTTTAACACAACGTTGTACGGATACACAGCAAAAACAGTGGAAACGGGTAATTACTAAAATGCATACAAGTCAAACCAAATCCACCACCACAAATATCTAGCGGCAAACTACACCGATAAACAGCTGTAAACATCTCCTATAAATTTTAAATAATGTTACGTCAAACTGTTGACCAAAGCCCTGGCAATCAGACGTTGAAGAAACTGTTCGTCGTAAACCGATGTTTTAAAGCGGGGAAAATGTTTCCATATAAAATCATTAACAAGTACATCGTTATCACTCTTATCCGAAGAAAACAAATGCGCAATTTTGTGCAAAGTCAAACCTCGGCAACGCTGTAACAGAAAAAAAATAGAATATTGTCCACACACGGCTGACAGTGGTCCCTGCAGGGGTCGGTGGTTGTAGCGGGTACAAGTCACATTTTTCTTGAGGAATTTCTTGACTTGGAGTAGCTTGACCGGTTGTCCGTAGGAATCGAAATACTCTCCCTCCCCATCCCGTGTGATGTAAATGGCCACCCAGTGCTGACCGGGCTTTGTGGATGGGTCCGTATTGAAAATAAGTGCGCTTGGTCGGGGCACGTAGTGCTTGGGCAGTTGATCGCAGGCAAAAACTCCTCTGAAGTAATGCTTGGTAAAACGATCATTTTTCAAAATGCTGCTGATTTGACAACTGTCCATGGTGACGACGTAATTTAACTGCTGTAGTCAAAGATGACGTTGCGAGCCTGGTCAATTTCTATGATGTTGTTGAACTCGGCGTAGATGATGACGTTGATGGTTGCCTCTAGCGGATTGGCAAAGTGGACGTCCAGTCTCAGGTTGCCACGCCTCACGAGATTGAAATGTCCTGCAACGGACAGGTCGGGGCTCAGATCAAACGCAAACAGTGTGTACCCCGCGGGATAGTCGTCACGAGTGATGGTGATGCCCTCGTCTTGGTACATTTTATCTGTACCTGAGAACAGGGTCTGGTAGGCTCTGATGAAATTTTTGCCCGGTGCTTTAAATTTTGGTTTCAGTGGGGAATAAGGTATTTGTTCCCCGTCCACGTGCACGGTCAAAAAATTGATGTCCATGTGCTGGAAATTGAAGGGGTTCTTTCCATACCGACCGTTAAACGCCTCGTTGGTCACGCATCCCACCATGATGCGGTTCGGAAGTTGTCCCAGAAACACGTGGTCCTGCGTGAGGGTCAGGTTACCGCGGGGCACGGACACCATTTTGCACAGATTGCGTTTGATGGGGTATTTGGCTGTGCCTTTTTCCAAAGCTTTCATGTGTCCCAGCATAACGGCCGAACTGACTTTGACTTTCCTGACAAACACGGACGCGTTTAGGATGACCACTTTGTAGGCGGGGTTGGCCCCGGCTGTCATGAGACAGAACGCGTTGCTGCTGCGGATGAGTTTCAGTTTCAAATCGACACCGTTGAGCATGTGTTTGTCTTGGAAGAAAATGTCGCTGTGAATCGGGCCGATCATGTCCACCTCGCTGCTGCCCTTTGTAAACTTGTATCGCTTCTTTAACCCATGGTTGGCAGCATCGTCTGCCGCCGTCGGGTCCGCACTGTCCATTTTGCCGGCGGTATCTTTGTAAAACAAAGCGGCAGTCAGCTGAGAGATTTGAGCATCGCTGCCGTAGCTGAGCAGTGTTTCGAGTATGGCGCGGTATGGGTAGGTGGGGGTGGAGGGGGAGATCAGACGATCGTTCAGACTCACGTCAATCTGGCTGAATAGGGACTGTAGAAATAAATTGACGGGACCCATGTGGTCGGCCTCTGCCAGGTTGGAGCCGTCCGCTTTGGTGACTTTCGCTTTGACGTGTAGCTGGGTTTGGTTGAGATCCATGTATTCTTCACCGGATCCCGGTACGAAAAACTCTATGGGTCCTCCATCAGAAATGGTAGTGGGATGAAATTCCTCCCACTGACCCCGTTCTATACTCGTTTGAGTAGGTGGGACAGAAAAAATGTCAAGCTCGGATTTTGTGCATTCGCACGAATTATTGTGTAACAGCGACATGATTGGAAAGCGAATAGCCCGATGGAAATCACTAATCGAAAATGTCTTGCGATCTTTTCACTCTCCTGCTGGATGAAGAAGTGGCGCGTCTGCCGCTCGCTTTCCTTTTTATACCTCGCCGTTGGCCTTGTGAAAGTCGGGCATTGACACCGCGAAGAGCCGTGTCGGCCAGATTGCGTCCGGCGTGCCAAAGTCAGTTTTTGGCAGATGATTTGATACTCTTTCCCTCCATCGCATCTTGCGCGATCCCTACGCCGGTACGAAGAGCCTCACGACCCAACGTTTTAGCTCCCTGTTTGATCAGTGGCATGGCCGAGCGGAAAAGGCCACCTAAAATTCCTCCAAGTCCGTATCCCCTCTGACTTCTCGGGCCAGTGAACACGGGATGACTGCGCCCCACTTGTCCGACGTAATAATCTTCATAGTGTTTGCTACTGGGTAGGTAATGACCCCTCATGATGGCTAGTTGAAGTAAGACGAGCGCTTCTTTCTAAAGTGAAGTTTCATGATGACTCTCCCGCTCACAAATGGAATGGGCAGGCCTGTGTCGTCCCTTATATCTATTTCGATCGTGTCTATCAACTTGTGCTGTAGGGGCATGTAATGAGGACCGTCATAGCTTTTTGTAACTGTTTCGCCGTACTCGCCGTCCACATTCACGATGCGTAATAAGGGCGCCCGCGTGTCTCCCCCGTGGTACTCGACAATATTGGAGTAGATGAATAACGCGTAGAATGGTTTCAGATCCACTACTCTCGTACTCTTTCCAATCCCCGTCACAGTCGCACCGTTGTCAAAGCCAAGCAGTTTTGCAAGACGACCCAGCAATTTAACCACCGCGTCCGTCTTTATGATGACTTTTTGAATATATCTGTTGTACATGAGTCGGACTAGTCCACCGTGCTGGATGGGGGGTTCGAAATTCCTGAATAGTTCCACCGGTGTCGGATAATACCCCTCCGGTACGTGGTGAAAGTGAAATATGGAATCTGTGTCTCCGGCCGAGCACGCCAACAGGTTACCTTCGGTGACGTTCAACCAGCGATGAGGGTAAGTCACTTCAGCCAGGGCCACTTCCCAATCTCCTTCGAAGGATAGGGGTGTGGGTAAATTCACGAAAAAATGACTCAAGGTGTTGTTGGGGTGCGTCGCCATAGAACTGTTGCTAGGGAGCGTGACGTAGAATGAGTCCGCCATGATGAAGCTTAGCCGTACCGTGTGGGCAAAATCTCGCGGTCTTAAAGTTTTTATAACCTGCGCAGACTCGTTGTCCAACTGTTAAACTTGTCCTGATACCCCAGCCACTTGACAAAATACTCCCTTTTTCTTCGGTGTGTCCGCGTCCTTAGCACCTTCTCCACTTGGTACAAATCACTTAACTGAACCACTCGTTGGAGCTCATGCTGATAGAATGTACCGTCCACCTCGTCGCCATTATAATCTTTCAACCTGTACACGGGAGGATGGCGCGGGATACGAGCGCTGACCGTAAACAGTTCGGTGGTCCAGCCTGGGAGATAACCTTTCCTAAACGGTCTGGTCGTCATGCTAATGCGGACCGTGTCTTCCACGTTGAATCGAAAAGTAATGGGTTTGACAGCATGACCGTCGACGCTGTACAGGTTTCTCCAAATCTCTTCGGCATTTTCGCTGTTTACAGACGCCGGGGATGTCCCGATGCTTCTGTGGTAAGCGCGATTGTACGCAGACATCAGTTTCGGCAAGGTCTCGAGGTATGTGTGGGTGTTGCTCGCCGTGAAATACTTGTACATTTTTGTCTTTAGCGTCCTGTTAAATCTCTCCACCACGCTGCCAGGTTGGAGCCGTCCGCTTTGGTGACTTTCGCTTTGACGTGTAGCTGGGTTTGGTTGAGATCCATGTATTCTTCACCGGATCCCGGTACGAAAAACTCTATGGGTCCTCCATCAGAAATGGTAGTGGGATGAAATTCCTCCCACTGACCCCGTTCTATACTCGTTTGAGTAGGTGGGACAGAAAAAATGTCAAGCTCGGATTTTGTGCATTCGCACGAATTATTGTGTAACAGCGACATGATTGGAAAGCGAATAGCCCGATGGAAATCACTAATCGAAAATGTCTTGCGATCTTTTCACTCTCCTGCTGGATGAAGAAGTGGCGCGTCTGCCGCTCGCTTTCCTTTTTATACCTCGCCGTTGGCCTTGTGAAAGTCGGGCATTGACACCGCGAAGAGCCGTGTCGGCCAGATTGCGTCCGGCGTGCCAAAGTCAGTTTTTGGCAGATGATTTGATACTCTTTCCCTCCATCGCATCTTGCGCGATCCCTACGCCGGTACGAAGAGCCTCACGACCCAACGTTTTAGCTCCCTGTTTGATCAGTGGCATGGCCGAGCGGAAAAGGCCACCTAAAATTCCTCCAAGTCCGTATCCCCTCTGACTTCTCGGGCCAGTGAACACGGGATGACTGCGCCCCACTTGTCCGACGTAATAATCTTCATAGTGTTTGCTACTGGGTAGGTAATGACCCCTCATGATGGCTAGTTGAAGTAAGACGAGCGCTTCTTTCTAAAGTGAAGTTTCATGATGACTCTCCCGCTCACAAATGGAATGGGCAGGCCTGTGTCGTCCCTTATATCTATTTCGATCGTGTCTATCAACTTGTGCTGTAGGGGCATGTAATGAGGACCGTCATAGCTTTTTGTAACTGTTTCGCCGTACTCGCCGTCCACATTCACGATGCGTAATAAGGGCGCCCGCGTGTCTCCCCCGTGGTACTCGACAATATTGGAGTAGATGAATAACGCGTAGAATGGTTTCAGATCCACTACTCTCGTACTCTTTCCAATCCCCGTCACAGTCGCACCGTTGTCAAAGCCAAGCAGTTTTGCAAGACGACCCAGCAATTTAACCACCGCGTCCGTCTTTATGATGACTTTTTGAATATATCTGTTGTACATGAGTCGGACTAGTCCACCGTGCTGGATGGGGGGTTCGAAATTCCTGAATAGTTCCACCGGTGTCGGATAATACCCCTCCGGTACGTGGTGAAAGTGAAATATGGAATCTGTGTCTCCGGCCGAGCACGCCAACAGGTTACCTTCGGTGACGTTCAACCAGCGATGAGGGTAAGTCACTTCAGCCAGGGCCACTTCCCAATCTCCTTCGAAGGATAGGGGTGTGGGTAAATTCACGAAAAAATGACTCAAGGTGTTGTTGGGGTGCGTCGCCATAGAACTGTTGCTAGGGAGCGTGACGTAGAATGAGTCCGCCATGATGAAGCTTAGCCGTACCGTGTGGGCAAAATCTCGCGGTCTTAAAGTTTTTATAACCTGCGCAGACTCGTTGTCCAACTGTTAAACTTGTCCTGATACCCCAGCCACTTGACAAAATACTCCCTTTTTCTTCGGTGTGTCCGCGTCCTTAGCACCTTCTCCACTTGGTACAAATCACTTAACTGAACCACTCGTTGGAGCTCATGCTGATAGAATGTACCGTCCACCTCGTCGCCATTATAATCTTTCAACCTGTACACGGGAGGATGGCGCGGGATACGAGCGCTGACCGTAAACAGTTCGGTGGTCCAGCCTGGGAGATAACCTTTCCTAAACGGTCTGGTCGTCATGCTAATGCGGACCGTGTCTTCCACGTTGAATCGAAAAGTAATGGGTTTGACAGCATGACCGTCGACGCTGTACAGGTTTCTCCAAATCTCTTCGGCATTTTCGCTGTTTACAGACGCCGGGGATGTCCCGATGCTTCTGTGGTAAGCGCGATTGTACGCAGACATCAGTTTCGGCAAGGTCTCGAGGTATGTGTGGGTGTTGCTCGCCGTGAAATACTTGTACATTTTTGTCTTTAGCGTCCTGTTAAATCTCTCCACCACGCTGCCAGGTTGGAGCCGTCCGCTTTGGTGACTTTCGCTTTGACGTGTAGCTGGGTTTGGTTGAGATCCATGTATTCTTCACCGGATCCCGGTACGAAAAACTCTATGGGTCCTCCATCAGAAATGGTAGTGGGATGAAATTCCTCCCACTGACCCCGTTCTATACTCGTTTGAGTAGGTGGGACAGAAAAAATGTCAAGCTCGGATTTTGTGCATTCGCACGAATTATTGTGTAACAGCGACATGATTGGAAAGCGAATAGCCCGATGGAAATCACTAATCGAAAATGTCTTGCGATCTTTTCACTCTCCTGCTGGATGAAGAAGTGGCGCGTCTGCCGCTCGCTTTCCTTTTTATACCTCGCCGTTGGCCTTGTGAAAGTCGGGCATTGACACCGCGAAGAGCCGTGTCGGCCAGATTGCGTCCGGCGTGCCAAAGTCAGTTTTTGGCAGATGATTTGATACTCTTTCCCTCCATCGCATCTTGCGCGATCCCTACGCCGGTACGAAGAGCCTCACGACCCAACGTTTTAGCTCCCTGTTTGATCAGTGGCATGGCCGAGCGGAAAAGGCCACCTAAAATTCCTCCAAGTCCGTATCCCCTCTGACTTCTCGGGCCAGTGAACACGGGATGACTGCGCCCCACTTGTCCGACGTAATAATCTTCATAGTGTTTGCTACTGGGTAGGTAATGACCCCTCATGATGGCTAGTTGAAGTAAGACGAGCGCTTCTTTCTAAAGTGAAGTTTCATGATGACTCTCCCGCTCACAAATGGAATGGGCAGGCCTGTGTCGTCCCTTATATCTATTTCGATCGTGTCTATCAACTTGTGCTGTAGGGGCATGTAATGAGGACCGTCATAGCTTTTTGTAACTGTTTCGCCGTACTCGCCGTCCACATTCACGATGCGTAATAAGGGCGCCCGCGTGTCTCCCCCGTGGTACTCGACAATATTGGAGTAGATGAATAACGCGTAGAATGGTTTCAGATCCACTACTCTCGTACTCTTTCCAATCCCCGTCACAGTCGCACCGTTGTCAAAGCCAAGCAGTTTTGCAAGACGACCCAGCAATTTAACCACCGCGTCCGTCTTTATGATGACTTTTTGAATATATCTGTTGTACATGAGTCGGACTAGTCCACCGTGCTGGATGGGGGGTTCGAAATTCCTGAATAGTTCCACCGGTGTCGGATAATACCCCTCCGGTACGTGGTGAAAGTGAAATATGGAATCTGTGTCTCCGGCCGAGCACGCCAACAGGTTACCTTCGGTGACGTTCAACCAGCGATGAGGGTAAGTCACTTCAGCCAGGGCCACTTCCCAATCTCCTTCGAAGGATAGGGGTGTGGGTAAATTCACGAAAAAATGACTCAAGGTGTTGTTGGGGTGCGTCGCCATAGAACTGTTGCTAGGGAGCGTGACGTAGAATGAGTCCGCCATGATGAAGCTTAGCCGTACCGTGTGGGCAAAATCTCGCGGTCTTAAAGTTTTTATAACCTGCGCAGACTCGTTGTCCAACTGTTAAACTTGTCCTGATACCCCAGCCACTTGACAAAATACTCCCTTTTTCTTCGGTGTGTCCGCGTCCTTAGCACCTTCTCCACTTGGTACAAATCACTTAACTGAACCACTCGTTGGAGCTCATGCTGATAGAATGTACCGTCCACCTCGTCGCCATTATAATCTTTCAACCTGTACACGGGAGGATGGCGCGGGATACGAGCGCTGACCGTAAACAGTTCGGTGGTCCAGCCTGGGAGATAACCTTTCCTAAACGGTCTGGTCGTCATGCTAATGCGGACCGTGTCTTCCACGTTGAATCGAAAAGTAATGGGTTTGACAGCATGACCGTCGACGCTGTACAGGTTTCTCCAAATCTCTTCGGCATTTTCGCTGTTTACAGACGCCGGGGATGTCCCGATGCTTCTGTGGTAAGCGCGATTGTACGCAGACATCAGTTTCGGCAAGGTCTCGAGGTATGTGTGGGTGTTGCTCGCCGTGAAATACTTGTACATTTTTGTCTTTAGCGTCCTGTTAAATCTCTCCACCACGCTGCCAGGTTGGAGCCGTCCGCTTTGGTGACTTTCGCTTTGACGTGTAGCTGGGTTTGGTTGAGATCCATGTATTCTTCACCGGATCCCGGTACGAAAAACTCTATGGGTCCTCCATCAGAAATGGTAGTGGGATGAAATTCCTCCCACTGACCCCGTTCTATACTCGTTTGAGTAGGTGGGACAGAAAAAATGTCAAGCTCGGATTTTGTGCATTCGCACGAATTATTGTGTAACAGCGACATGATTGGAAAGCGAATAGCCCGATGGAAATCACTAATCGAAAATGTCTTGCGATCTTTTCACTCTCCTGCTGGATGAAGAAGTGGCGCGTCTGCCGCTCGCTTTCCTTTTTATACCTCGCCGTTGGCCTTGTGAAAGTCGGGCATTGACACCGCGAAGAGCCGTGTCGGCCAGATTGCGTCCGGCGTGCCAAAGTCAGTTTTTGGCAGATGATTTGATACTCTTTCCCTCCATCGCATCTTGCGCGATCCCTACGCCGGTACGAAGAGCCTCACGACCCAACGTTTTAGCTCCCTGTTTGATCAGTGGCATGGCCGAGCGGAAAAGGCCACCTAAAATTCCTCCAAGTCCGTATCCCCTCTGACTTCTCGGGCCAGTGAACACGGGATGACTGCGCCCCACTTGTCCGACGTAATAATCTTCATAGTGTTTGCTACTGGGTAGGTAATGACCCCTCATGATGGCTAGTTGAAGTAAGACGAGCGCTTCTTTCTAAAGTGAAGTTTCATGATGACTCTCCCGCTCACAAATGGAATGGGCAGGCCTGTGTCGTCCCTTATATCTATTTCGATCGTGTCTATCAACTTGTGCTGTAGGGGCATGTAATGAGGACCG